AAGCACTGTAAATTTCCATGTTGATTCATAATTGTTTTATAAACACCGTAGTTTCGCTTTTCTCGTATCCAATAAGCAAATTTTAAGTGAAATATTTTTTTTTATCCATACGCCACACTAATCTCACCTATACACAATTCGTTGCTTTTTCTGCTTCTACTCCGGCAACTTCTTCACTTTTCTATTTCCTCTTGTCATTCCGCTTTCGATACCTATACGTAAAGGTGCTGTCAGATTTAGCAATATTTTCAACTTTTCCAGGCAATTGGCGGGCGATTGGATTTTACTTTGTGAACAACCAGAAAGTCCTTTCCCGGTTCATTTTCGGAAACCAATTTGAGAAATAGAAGTACATATGTATTTATTTGGTAATTCTCTAGTGTAGGGTAACAACCCCTAAAAAAGGTCCGAAAAAGTCGGTAAGGGTACCAAACGACGCGTTTCGGTCCCCTTATTAACAATCCGGAGGGGGAAGGCTAATATTATTAATCATTTAAAAGTTATGAACAAAAAACCTTTGTTAAATTTCGTCGTTTCCTATGTGCAATTACACCGACAAAGATGCACTAAATCACCTGTTCTCACTTTTTAAACACTATTAAAATATATAATTTAACTTATTTATTAAACAAACACATAGTTTTGTCTACCTAAGATAGATTATTTTGTTATTAAAAGAAGTTGACAATCTTTGCGAACTGAAACGTGAGATTCCAAAATAGCTATAGTGCTGCCACTGTATTAGTATTTCGTAATAATTCACTTTTCTTTATAAGGTGTGTGCACTGTTCAATGCTTTTCGGTATCTTCTTTCGTTTAATATAAATATAAATAATGAAAATTTTAAATAAAAAATCGCGCGATTTTTTATTAAAAATTTTCGCATGCGGCACTTTCCCGTAAAAATCAATCAAGATTGTTAATAGGGGGCCGAAACGCGTCGTTTGGTACACCTCCCGACTTTTCCGGACCTTTTTTTGGGGTTGTTACCCTACACTAGAGAATTACCATTTATTTTTACGAAATTAACTTTGCGCATATCCAAGAACAATAGTAAACAACCGAAATTCATTCGCTGTTTGAAGAG